ACGGGAAGAATGCCAAATAACGTCAACTCGGTTTACGTCCCCATCACTAGTTCCAGCTAAATGATCGAAATTATTCGGTACACGACATGGAGCTGATAGCAATGCGTTACGCCAAGCTAGAATTTGAGTTCGCCTGCTGGAGCAGCTGATTTCGCGATTAACATAGACCTCGCGTCATTTAGGACGGCAGCAACGAATTAACACTTCGGAAAGCGTTGGTGTGCCTGTTTGCTAGTGTCAATTCTATGGTGGGCGCGTTAACACGATGTCGGAGATTTAATAATTTAATTAAAAAAATAGTGATTGAAATTAAGGCGGAATTTCAGTAATTTAATTTACAGCTGATCAGCAAAGCTTATGTATGATTGCTTTAACTTGATGTCTCCTGCTCTTTGTTTTATACATGAATATGCTCAGCCATCTGCCAGATCTGCAATATATTGTCATCGGCAACGGAGGAGACCACCCACGGCTCGCTAGGATGCCACGAAAAGTCCACAACATTTGCGGTGTGGCCAGCATGGATGAAAAGCAGCTCCGGTGAACCATCTTTTGCTTCTTCAGCTGCTTGTTCTTCTCCAATCTATCAGAAGTAATTAATGAAATACAACATTAACATGATAAACTTCACCTCATACAAATTCAAAATTCAGGTACCTTTGTAAGATCCCAAATGATCACACGATGATCTGCAGAGCAGGATCCAAGAATGCCATCGTGGTGCGGTGACCACTGTATCTGATAGATTTCATCTGTGTGGCCTTCGAGAGTGTGCACTTTGGTCTTTAGATTTCGCAAATCCCATAAATTGATTTGCTTATCGCATGATCCAGTAGCAACAAGATATTCGTTTGATGGACAGAAAGCCAGACAATTGACTTCAGCCGAGTGAGCTACTACAGTTGCTGCTGGTGTATTGTAGTTGTCCGACCGCATATCCCAACTTAAAACATCAATAATGAAGATGCAGTCAACACAAAGCGAAATGTTATAAATACTGGACAAATACCAACATGAGTAGTTTTTTGTCATCACCGACGGATCCAATTATCTTCGGATGATGCCAGTGCCATCCCACATCTTCGATCGCATCACTATGACCGATGTATGAGTGCAAAGGCTCCACTGTTTTGCCGCTTTCGCGAAGATCCCATTCGCAGATGATGGCATCATTAGATCCAGAAATAAGGTGATAGGGCTCGTGGGGATTCCAGCACAAGCCAAAACCTTCTTTTGTATGACCCAATAGACGTTTAGTTGGTTCAATACTTCTTCCAGCATCAGTTTTGATTGTCGAGATATCAAACATGTGAACTTCAGCACCCGGAGTTTTCGTTGCCACTATAAGATTATCAGATGGCATACAACGTGCTCGATTGACTTCGCCTTCGTGATTGAAGCTAAGTGACGTCTTGACTTTACGCTCAACTGCATTGTTATAGTCGCCCAACTCTACCAAATATCAAGGAGTTTAATGAAAGTATCAACTTAAAACGACTATGTCCTTGAAATCACCTTTAGTATCCTCATTCCACTTGCAGGCGTCGTCAAGAGGAAGCCACACTTTGGCCTTCATCAATTTATTTTGTTCTGCGCCTGAAGTATTGGTTCCCAGCAAAAGTTCGTACTCACAGAAATCCGACGTGATCTTCGTTCTAAAGTAGCATACAAGATTATCATGAACAAGTGACAATCATTTTCTTGACAAATTAACGCTGTAACAACGCACGGTGCGGAAAGCCATTGGACTGTGAGTGAAGGCCAATCAAGCGAATGGGTGATAACAAGGTCGTATAAAAATGGTGTATTTTTCTTCCACGTTCGATACTCGTCGCTTTCAAGTCGCATATCAGGCTCCACCTTTTCGTCCTCTTCAGTAGTTTCTTCCATGTCACGTGTGAGATCATGAACATGTACCTCCTTATCTGTCGAAGGAAAGGTTAAGGTCTCAGCTTGGTCTGTCATTTTTTTCTAAAAGACGATGACATATTGTTGGTTGATAAAAGACCTAGCATGTACATGTATTGATTTAAGACGAAATTTAGGTCTAGTACAGTTACATGATACGCCTACTCCAGGTCTTCTTCAGCCACCTCTTCCTGCTCCGTCTCATCTTCCTCGTTGTAAATGTTCTCTGCCATTTGCCAAATTTGTAGAACGTTGTCTTCAGCTACTGAGGCTACAACCCACGGGTCATTCGGGTTCCATGAGAAATCGGAAATTTTTGAAGTGTGGCCACCGTGAATGAATAAAAGTTCGGGAGGTCCGTCTTCAGCGTCTTCCGGGGTTTGTTCATCACCAATCTGTACAACACCACAAGGTGACTATTGGCCATTTCGTTTTGAACAATTTTCAATATCAAGTACATACCTTGCTAAGATCCCAAACGTGCAAACGACGGTCAGAAGAGCAGGAGCCCAGAATGGTCTCGTTATGTGGAGACCATTGAATCTGATAAACTTCATCATTGTGGCCCTCAAATGAATGCAGTTTGGCCTTCATGTTACGCATATCCCATAGATTCACGTGCTTGTCGGCTGAGCCCGTTGCAATGAGATACTCACTGAATGGACTAAAAGCTAGGCAATTGACCTCTGCAGTGTGTGCATATACAATCGTTGCCGGTTTGTCGAAGCTCTCTGAGCGCATGTCCCAGCTGTAGTTACATGATTATCATCAGCGAATGCAAACGTCATTACACAAAACGATAACTTACATGAGTAATTTTTTGTCATCACCAACAGAGCCGAAAATCTTAGTGTTGTGCATATGCCACGCGACATCTTCAATCACATCACAATGTCCGCTATATTTGTGCAGCGGCTCCAATGACTTGCCAGCATTGCTAATATCCCACTCACAGATGATTGCATCATCTGAACCAGATATTAGGTGAAAAGGTTGGTGAGGGTCCCAACAGAGACCATACCCTTCTTTTGAGTGGCCCAAAAGGCGATAGTCGGGGTCACAACCCGAGTTCTGCTCGGGTTGTGACGGTCGCTTCGAGATATTAAATACGTGCACTTCTGCATGGGGGGTCTTGGTAGCCACAACTAGCTCATCAGACGGCATATATCGTGCGCGATTAACTTCACCGTCATGGTTGACGCGGATCTTAATGTCCACTTTGCCCGAGACGCCACCAAACCCGCCAAGCTCCTGACTCTCTTCGTCGTACTTACGAGCGTCAATTTCCGTATCTTCAAGGGGTAAACGAACCTCTGCAACCATCAGATAGTTCTGTTCTGCTCCAGACGTATGCGTGCCCAATAGCAGCTTATGCACCGAAAAGTCATCACCTGCTGAGCTATGACCATGTATAAATTTCCATTAGATCCAACCAAAAATGCGTTGCAATGCCATACACATATGCCGTAATATGATTTTAACTTCTAGTTAGGTTACACCTACATGTGAGAGTTTGGTAGCCATTGAACACTAAGTGACGGCCACTCGAGTGCGTGTGTCATCACCAAATCATACAAAAATGGCGTGTTTTTCTTCCAGATCTTGTATTCTTCATTGATAAGCTTCTCTTGCAAAGCCGCATCGTTGGCAGCATTGTCTGTAGAAGTCGATGTTCCCTCAATACGGTCGTTTGAGTCAGCCATTCTAAATGAGCGGGAAAAGAGTGTAAATGATGAGCAGGGAAGGTAGAAATCTCATTGGTTAATTTAATACATCGTTTCTAGACCAAAATGAATCGCAGTATGTATTGTGAGCGAAGCTACGGATATTGTTAACTATCGCATGTAACTTTGTGGTATAGAATTGCAGCTAACTGTTGCAGGAGTGCTGCTGCTATTGGCGATTGTGGGGGTTATCGTGGCATCAGTAGGATACTCAACATCTTGGGGAATATTTGTCTGTATGCCATGACGCCTTATGTGACTGAGCTGCACGACTCTAATTCTATTGTGTTTGGTTGAAGTGTTTCCATACGTGATGCTGCCAATGACAGCAGCAATTTTTTCGACGATGTCGACGGGAGATGGTCTCAGGTGAATTAGCTGAATATAATGATAAATGACGTCTCTTGATAAACATTGTGAGTGTTCTCTAGTGCCTGGATTAGCTTTGGCTGTGTCTTCGAAGCCATTTTGTGGATTTCTACGCTTGCAATCCCATCAATTCTGTATCGAGTTGATGCGGTGAGTTAGTTTCTTTTGCCTTAATTATTGCCTTCGACCATCTCTTTTGATGCGAGTGAACAGATCAACGAATACCAACTTGGCTGGTTACTTGCTTCTGATGTGCTAGTATTTGCGTCATTTATGAGTTTAGCATTGATAAATGGACATTGAAAAATCTTAATAAAATCATTGCTTCATTAATTGTTTAACATTGGCCTTGTACTATAGTCTACAAGCTCATTCTCCTAATGTCAGACACATGCATATATTGAAATCATAGTCATTCAATTGTCGCAACAGAAATTCAAGTTATAAATTGAGGCAGGCACTGCACTAAGTAAACAAATGTGAACATCACTCTTCGTACCTTGTACGGTCCTTGTATATTTCGATCACGAAAAAATGACCAATCATAGCATCGCCCAATTGATTCGCCAGGTCGTTTGTTTTGACCATTACAACCAAGTTTTCAGCATCATACTTCATAGAATTCTACATTATCAAAGAACGCGCAATTGCTCGTCAATGTACGTCTGAATGCTGTCAAATTAGTACAAAACATTGATGACAATGAATGGAATTGTCAAGTGGCTAATTATTGACAAGGATATTCGAGTATTAAAAAAATAGTATTACAAAGTGTTAGCCTTGGTATATGTAGGCTATGACATGCATTGCTAGACAAAAGGTTTTTCATTAACGTGAATGTCAAACAGAATGCTGATCAACTCCAGCCCTATAACCGAATCTCAAGCTGTCCTACATTGAAAAATCGTCAACGACTTTTTACCAAATCGAAGTGAATAACTATAATATTCGTATAATTTCCGTCTTCATGCTTGGATTTGGGGCTCAATTGACACTTGAATTTAAGATGGGTTCCTACCATTACAAAACTAGCAATTTTTCGACTTGCATGTTGTCTTGCCAATTCACTAGATCCAGCGAGTATTGAAAATGCCAACTAAGCGTCGATCCAGCGGACTGCATCAGTGATTCAAGACGATTTATTCTACTTTATTTCTACGTACACCATTATATATAGTGACAGCTGCTCCCATGCATTCAGATACTGTAGCTTCGAGGCACAAGTGATGTAAGTGCACTCTGGTTCCAAGATATCCCGCCAGTGCTGCTTATATCTTTTTTCAAGATCGCATTATAAGGATGAAGGCCAACTTGAAGATCTGAGTCAGTTAAGAATAGTCTGTTTCACATCAATAGCCATAATGTATGAATGACAGGACCCGAACAATGTTGTAGTCGGATCGTGCGAGTTGCAGAACCTTGTCAATTTATTCACTGTACATCTCTTCGAGGATATGTCAAAGCAGCATGAAGCTTTTGAAAGCAGATAAGACACCTTTTAAACAGACATTATAGCAGTTACTGCAAATAGCGAAGTCGATCAGCACACAAACCGGTTGCTCTGTCATTAAATATTCCGCTTGTATCATCTGGACGCGGATTACAATAAGATAAATTCATAACATCAAGACCAAGGGAGCTGCAAATTTTTTTATCAGGAAGTTAGTTCAAATGAATTGTTTGATCTCAACTTAACTCCACCTCATACAAAACTTTTCACCAAGAAGACACACCATCGCAATCTTGTTCTCTACGCGGAACAGGTGTACGCGAAATATACATAATTTGTGATCCACTCGATCATGCACAATCATTTTTTATCCTTCCAAGAAAAAAGTCTGTGTCCCCGATCGAGATGCCTCAGTGGATTAATGAGGCACAATTAATTCAAGGGCCACAACTGCCCCTATAATACATAAATTTAATATGTATTGCCATTTCAATATTGGTGCTTGATTTTCCTAATTGATTTGATGTGCCTGTGTGGTTGCTCGATACTATTTACAGTGATGCGAAGCAGCTTAACAAGCAAATTGGTGGTACAAACTCCGCAAGCGATTAAAACAGTGTCTCCATTTCGGAAGTCTTCCTACCTCCTCTTCTTTCCCTTTCTTCTAATAGGTGCTTCTGATGCTCTGTCCTTTATTGTCGCCTCAGATTCGATCTCGATCGTGCCACCCTGACAAAAAAAAATCTGTTTAGAAACCAGCATACAACAATTACTGTAATTAAGCACCTTGATGTCCTCGCAATGTACACTTTGCTCGACCTTGTTCTGTGTATCAAGATAAAACATTAAATCACGGACCTGGCTTTCTAAATCACCGACGCGCAATGCGGTATCCCGTTCAATTCGGGCATTTGCATCTTCTAGTGCTCGCACTCGTTCCTTCCACTGCTTTTGATTCTCAATCAGCGACTTGTTAAGCTCTCTGTAACACACAAGCCTTTCGTTAGTAACTTGTTGACAGTCAAGAGCCACTCATTAGTGGTATGACCTGACAAAGGTCAACTCTTCCTCAAGCTTCTTGGTCTTTTCCTCTAAAACTAAATTTGTCTTCTTTAGCTGCTTTCGCTCGTGCTCGTGTGCATTCAGCAGCTGTCGACTTTTGCCTTCTTCTACACGCGCAAGCAGCCGTTCGTAATAAAGGCGTTGTTCCTCCAATTGACTAGTACATAGCGAATGTAAGTGAACAAATGGGTCATAAAAAAGTAGTCATGCTTGAAATGAATGACTAAGCAAAACATACCTTTTTAAAAGAAAGTTATACTCGACAGCTAGTTTTTCCAGCTTTCGATGCTCATCTTCTTCATCCTCAGCAGAAGTGGTAGGCGGGCGTTGCGAGCGCTCGCCACTAAGATTGTATGGACTTGGAAACTCCACAAACTTTCCGTCTTGTTTATTCAGAATTAGTCGATGTACGTAACCATCACCAGCGTAGTCCCACACACGTTGCGTCTCTAGTTCAAGTGAATATGTGTGCAAAGTCTCTTGATAATGCTGTTTCGCGTGCTCACCCGAGTAGCGACCACACCCCACATGGCCGCAAATGAGACAGATCCAGAGATGTTCAACTGTGCTACACACTTCACACGAAGAACCAATGTCTCCATGGCTGTACCGACACACGGGACAGCTTGATCCTTCCCACCGAAAGAGACAATCACAATGAAAAGAATGATTGCACAAAGTTGTTAAAATGCCTGACGCTGACGCATCCAATCTATCGAGACACACTGCACACGTTGGAATTTCCGTCATACCATTAGGTGGAGGCGGGAATAATTTCCTCATCTGAGCACTGCTTGCTCGTCTCTCTGACCGTGGACTCAATTGCAATGTAGTCACATCTTCTTTTTCCTGAAATTTTGTCTCCAATGCGTCGCACTCTGACTCGTCTTTGCTGGCCACTGGATCAAACTCGATACTTCTTACAAAGACGATTTTGCATCGCTCCTGCTCAATCGAGTTAAAGTACTTGCCGTTATGGTCCTGTCACACATAACTCGATATCAATACAATACAATACCAGATGCAATAATTCAATTGTAACGTCACCGCAAAAAATTGGTCTGCTCTCTCTTGAGAATTAAACTGCATGAGTGCCATGCAGTTGCTGCGCTCTGGGTCTTTTAGAACGCGTAAAAGGGCTATATCATCTCGAAAGCTAGCCAAGAACTCGAGAATCTCTACGGGTGACATATGCGATGGCACTGTGACAACACAGACCAATGTACTACGCTCGCTCGGTAGTTGTTGGATGGGACTAGCGGATGAAGACGTCAGATAGGATTTATCGGCTCGGTAGAACCGTAATCTACCAGTAATGACGCGCACTTGAGGATTACCGGCTAAGAAAGAAGCACTTTGAAAATCATTGGCATTCTCATGTAATGGTTCTTCGGCTTTGACTTCCTCTTCCTCAACTATATCGGCGGCTTCGACGCGGATTTGAAACATCTCAAAGCGATGAATAATGTGATATTTATTTATGACTGAGAATATAAATCTATAAACTTAGAGTATTTCACAAGCCTTTTGAGATAAAAGGCGCGCCTTTTGCCCCTTGGAGGGTGCTCTTCCATGTTGAGAACAGTACAGCTACTTTTGAGCTGTCTCTTACCGAAACAGGTATTTGTGTAAAGCATCTTTTAAAACTATCGTGTAAGAAATTGCTTAAGTTCGTGGAGGGTCTGTCACGTATCTCGCTATTTGTCTTGTCAGAAGCTTGTCATAGAATCTTCGCGACGGATGTTGTCCCGTGAGCCGGTTTGCCCTTCTCACACTAATTATACTAGCTAAGCAATTCTGCACCTAGCAATCACCATTCGTCATTCGCAGACCCTTTTTACATACAAAAAAGCGCATTGTAATCAACATAAAATTATACACCTAGCTATAGGCGATATCCGACGAAGGCAAGTTGTTTTGACGGGGCCTCGAAAAATTTGATCCTTTCCTATCTGAGTTAATAGCGACAAAGGGTTTGTTTAGCGCACCAGTGACGATATTAACTGCTAGTAAGGCCTCATTTTGTCTATGAACAAATCTATCTCGACACTACTTTCGTCGATAATCCTGCAGAGCACGAGGGATCAAACATAGACGTGTATATTAGACACTTGCAAGCAATGCTAGAGTGTATGCGCTTAGACTGGCGGCTCGCAGTATTTACGATTGAGACCCGACGCAAAGTGTGATTCTCCATTGTGAAGCATGGCTTGCGGGCTGATCTCTCAAAGATAAATGCTAGTGTAAGTTGGCCTGTGCTTCTTGCCCCAGTAAGCAATAAACCTGGCTAACTAATTGCACGAGTGCACGCTGACATGGCACGACTCATTACAAAGATCGTCAGATGGCACTGGTGCATTGCAGAAGATGCAGCCTTCAAACTGTGAATTAAGCTACATGAGTGCCTCGTTTGGTGCCTATCAAATCCGAATCGGCCACTTTATGTCGTCTGTGGCGCTTTTGCTGATGCAATAGACTGTGTTTTTCTCCAAGCTACCTGATGAGCATGAGGTCTGATTTTTGCCAGCCTAAAGCGGCAAGGGAGAACAACCATAACAAATCATTCGCAGCGAAGTATGCCCTCATTAAGTTTGGATGCACCTGCTCGGCTTTAAGCTATCTGTGCGTTCTACACATCATGCGCCGATGTGCAGAGTAATGTCCACACCAAATCCGACAAGGAAAAACGGTCAATATTTTTCTCAAACATACCTTCAAGATGAGATGTAGTCTGAGCTAACTGATTACAGTGACTGATGCGCTTTCGCGCTGCGCCGACTATAAGTGTCAAAATTCACGATGTTGACGTCGCGCGTCGATGAATCGGTTTGAACAGCGCCCGATTCAGACACAACATGTGCTGTGATTCAGAAAGCTTTCTGGCATCAATAAAAAAAAACAATTCTCGATACGTCTGTACAGCTATTCCTTATCCGAAGGCTTACAACTGACCATGATGTGATGTCGCATAATGAGGACCTCAAGTACAGAACACGACACAAGGTAAATAACCCCTCTGGATGGTCACCTCTGCAAACAAAATATGTTTTCCCCAGTTAGGGTGATAACCTGAAGCCCAGCATATATAACTAGGTAATGTATGAGCGCACGTCATCGGCTAAACTCTCGGCGCATATATCGGTAATTTTGGCCGGCCTGCCAGTTCTGACGGGGTGTTAGCAATTATAATCATAGGCTTCAGTTTTGGTCGACCAAAAGACGAAACTAGAAATACCGGCATCGTTGTCTTTGTGAACCGTCTAAGCAAAATGGCTCATTTCGCTGCAGCTAGTAATATTGTAAGCAGTGAGGGACACAGACTATATGCTCTTTGACAAACTTTTTGCCGACATGGCTCGCTGATAGCCATTGTTCCGGACAGAGATCCGCGCTTTACATCAAAGATCGGCAAATCATATTCAAGGTGTTTGGTATAAAACTGGATCTTTCAATAGCCGACCATCTGCTGACAGACAAAACGCGTAAGGCGCGTTCAAATGAAATTTTTTTGAAGCACTTTTGGAGAAAGGCCACGATGCTGCAGAAAGTTGCTATTACGCATTATATTTGCGTCGAACACCATATATGTGTCTACTAATTTTTACCTCATTGTATTTATAGGCTTGTTTAACTTCAATTGATACCACCATAAATTGGTCCAGACCTAGTAACTAAGGAGCTGCAACTAAATCAAAGTTGCTAATATCACATCGTAGCGAAATCACTGATTTTGTCTCATTGAGATGAGTGTCATGCGCCTGACATCCAAGACAAACGAAAATATACATCGATACCAGAGACGACGGAACACACAAATAAGCGTTGTTGTGCAAGATTTATTCGAAAGCAGTTAATACAGCGGAGCTGCCGTAGCACTTTGCTCAGAGGAAGCTAAGATAAAGTCACCGACCTTACATTCTATTTAGAACCAAAACGAGTGTAGCGGATCGCAATCCGCTACCTCTAAGAGTACCCAAAACCTTAACCCAAGGCAAATGTACTCTTTCGTTCGAAAGTATTTATCCGTTTATTTGCGGCAGAGCCGCCTATATCTAGAACCTTAGGTTTCTATTTATTAAATAGTAAAACCTAATCAATATGCATATCCGTCACATGTAGTGCCTATTACGGTGTAGCCACACCATTGTGTGCAATCGACAACTTTGTACGTTCAATGTGATTCACACTTTCATACCCGGGTACGTGTAACCCCGTTATACTCTCCCTATCAAGTTGTGAAGTTACGCGATTCACATTTAATTGTCGCCTCGTACGAGGCTCGCGTGCCTACGATACATTTTTCTCTTGAGAACTGTCTTAATGCATTCTCTGTTCAATGAGCCGTGTTTCTATGACCCAGCCTCGCAGGTTCGGAGAGCGCCCGCGGGCAGAGCCCTTCTTCGTCTACTGAACTCGGTGCATCTCCGGGCAGTACGTCCGCGGCTTCACGGGAAGCGCATTCCAAGCCCTCGGTAACTAGGCGCCACGCACACGGACACGGATTTCCTCGTCGAGTATACGGAGGAAGTTGACTACAAGTCGAATACTACTTCCCAGGATGAGGGAGAAGGAGATTGATGTGATATAACGACGCGACATGAGTCCTGCTCGAGCCTTGCGGACACCGTGTCCGTCTCCCGACCTATCGACTTCCGGGGAAAGTGGTATTACTACCGATCGCCTAGCCGAGGCACATAAGCAGCAGTTGGAGGCTGCCCACAGGGCAGATCTTATGCGCTCGTTTTAAAGCTTGGTTCTAGACCCTCGTGTGGAACACGGCTTCCACTCGGTGGATCCAGCTACTTTAGCCAGAGACGCTATCACTCGATCGTTAGGCGTCTACATAGTCGGGTCCCCGGTCATTACATAAGCCGAGCTTGACCAACGATATTCTTCCTGAGCTCGCTTTTGGCACCTCAAGATTCGCAATGGACAGGTACCGCGCTCGACTTGGGGCTGAAGGTTCCAACCCGCAATGTAGACGATTCCCGTGGTGTTCGCCCCTGGTGAAACCGCTGCAGATGATAAAGAGCTCCTTGAGCGATGGGTGCAGCGGCACCGGAAACTTTCCCCATCGTCTCACTTCCAGCGGAGCAACAAGGAGGTGATCGTGCGCGTAGAATGCCATCTTCGGTTCGAGTTTGCTAAACTCAAGGCACAACATCGAATTTCTACGTATTAACGCCCTGCGACGTATGAATTTATCCATTATGCTCCCACAGGCTCTGTAGTCTCTCACATGGGCGAGTCTGCACTCACAGCAGATCATGACTCTCTAGATTCCCGGGCTACTGCAAAAGAGCGCGGGGCGTGCGACGACGCTGAGCGTCATGATTCCTTTGATCATAAACACCCACGACGTCTGGGCAGCGGCACCTCAAACTCCCACGAATTTGCCGAGTTTGTGTATCCCCGACACTTCACTAGATACGGGGTTTGACCCTGTCAACGACGCCGACCTACACTGCGTTCCAAGTGATAGTGAATGCCACCGTTCTCGTCGAGAAGGGTCAGCGGCCGACAATGACCACTTGTTCGACCGCCGTACGGTGAATCGCGATGCTCTTTGAGCTCTCGAGGCCAAAGGTCGACACCATCGGTGCTCCGCTGAGCATCTTGCCGAGGTTCTCTACCGCTCTGCGGATGACCTCGAGAGCTTGGAGAACGTCACGTTGGAGACTACGCGCTCTGTCGGAGCGACTATTAGCCGCCGAGCAGACGAATGCCTCACTTCGTGCGACAGTGGAGCGCCTGGTGCTGTTGGACAGGGAAATCACTGCACTCCGTACTCAAAACAGATACTGATTCAGATACTGGGTAGCCGAGCGCCTGTGGGCGCCGCCCCGGCATCAGCGCTTCCGCGTTCACTTGCGCTGGATCCCAGTGCGTCTTCAGCAAGCCCACGGGTGGGTGCGCATTCTTCTCGGACGGTCTATTGTATACGCAATGCCCTGCTTAGCCACCACCATAAAAGGTCCGATAAATCGTGGGCGGAGTTTCATCGTAAAGACAGCAGAAACGGCATGTGTAGGAAAAAAGGTTTTAGCACTGAATGAGACCAGGTCTCCGACCTCAAAGTTTTCAGCATTTCTTTTTCCTTTTCCGGCTGAATATTCCTTCTGTGTGTCTTGGCTTTCAGCCATCGCATCGCGAGCGTGTTGTAAAACACTTAGTCTGGTATACAGGATTCTCCGACTTCTTTACGCACGGTATATCAGCTAGCCGCTCGGCTATTCCTGCCCAACAAGCCCTGAGCCATGAAATGGCGGCGTCAGCGGAACGAAATAATTAATCAGCCCGTTCACGTAGAACGGAGTGTAGCCGGTAGCGAATGCACCGCATTGTTCAGAGCGATCTCCACAAGTGGCAGCATGGCGCTCCAGCGCTTCGGAGTCTCGGCGCAGACGCTGCAACGAACGTCTTCAACGACGTGATTCACGCGCTTAGGTTGATCATCGGAATGCGGGTGGTTTGCTGTTGGATATGCAACTAAGTGCCCAGCACCCTGAATATTGTAGACCAAAATTTCCTAGTGAATTTTGGGCCTCTATCAGAGACAATGGACTTCGGGAGTTCATGCTGTCGAAAGACACGATTGACAAACAGCTTTGCTGTGCCAACACCGTCTACGGTGTCAGGCACTGCCGCAAGACGAGCCATGTTGCTCGAACGGTCGACGACGACTAGACCACGACACCCATATTGCCCACCAAGTCCTTCGGCAGGCCAAACACAAAGTCCATACTCATGGACTGCCAACACCCGGAGGGTAGCGGTAAACTGGCCAGCGGCGCCGCCGCATTCGGAGAGAGTTCTACCTTTGGAGACGTCTCACACGTGCGAACATATGTGCTCGTCCGTTTGTACAGCTTGAGTCACCAGTAGTGGCAACTCACAGAGCTGTAGGTCTTCTCACGACGGAGGTGACGACTGAATGGGGTCATAGAAGATACGGTAATATAAATCCTCATCGTGAGGAACCATTCGTGGCATACCCGTTGAATCGTAGCTATATTACAGCAACCCTTTATTCAATGAACATCGGTGCAACCGTGCGCGCAGTCACGACGACAATTTCTTGTCTGAGTCTCTAAACTCCATGCCCCCAAGAGCGCTACGCACATATCATCACCCGCGAATGCGGCGCGGATCACCCCCGTCACTGACGACGTCTCCGTCGTGACATGAGCAAGCTCATAGTCCGGTCTGTGCGCCAACGCATCCGCCAAAGCATTCTGCTTTTCTAGCTTTTCCATCACCTCGAAGTTATATTCTGCAAAGAATGAGAGCCACACCTGACCATCCTCTGCAGGTGCATTCTGAACTTGACAAGTGCATACTTCACCGCAAGTAATTTCTTATCGTAGACTGGTTTGTTCCTCGCCGCAGCCTTAAGCTGGCGAGACTCGAACGCGATCACCCGATCTCGCCTCCTGGCGTCTGTTTGCAGCAGTGCACAGCCAATGGCAAAGTCTAAAGCGTCACCTACGACCCTAAAAGGACGATCGGGACCCGGCAACGCCAGTTTTGGTACATGAAAGAGGCTGTCTTTGACCCTATCAAAAGCCTTCCGATGCTCGGTGTCCTAATACTGTTTCATATCCTTCTTAAGGGGATATGACAATGGCCGTGCCATTTCGCATAATTTGCATTATACCTGTGCAAGTAGTTGGCAAGACCAACCCACTAGCGCAAGTCTTTTCGGTTCTTTGAAACCGGCCAGTCCACAATGACCTTGACCTTAGCTGGATCCACTCGAAGGTCACTCCATCCAATGAAGCACTAAAGAAGGAGATCCCTTCGGGGTTAAAGATGCATTTAGCAGCATTAGCATACAGTTTATTTGTGCGCATGCACTCGAGCATCGCTCTGAAATGAACGATGTGATTCGCTACATCTGTCCTCCCGTACCCCGGACGACCGTGGACGAAGAGTATGTGTGGGCGTACGCCCGGTGGAGCCTGAACAACTGCGTCACAAGACGATTAAATGTTGCTGGTGTATTTGACAGCCCTTGAACATCACCAGTCACTCCCAGGGATGCCGCTCAAGGTACAACCTTGAGAGCGAGTGATATTCTGCTGTCGCGGTCAGCAGAATATCACTCGCTCTCATGAGCAATTCGTAATACCCATCGATCAAGTTGAGTGCACTATACTTTGTATATCCAGTCATGTTGTTTTGAAGAATATCCTTCCCAGGAATCGGTGTATGTGCCGGAAGGGTGACAGTGTAGAGCATTTGTAAGCGTGAACAATACGCTACTTGCCGTTTGGCTTCCGCACACAAAACGTGGGTGTCCAATAGGGAGACTTGCTCTCACGCGCCATTCCTATGTCGTGCCCTGCACGGAAGAAGACGTCAACGACGTCACACTGTTCCTAGGGCAGGGGACATTGGCGTGTTTTAAAGTTTTTGATTCCTAGATTCAGGTCGATCTAATGACGCACAACTCGGTTTTAAAGATAGAACCGACGGCGGATTTTTGAAGACGACGTCTTGAATTCCTTATCTAAAAAATAAGAATGGAATTGATGGATCTTTCAGCATCGACAATCTACTTCGTGCGTTCAGCATTCTCTTAGTGTTCTCCGGGACAGCTTCATCCGGAAGCGACGACGAGTATATCTCCTCGTTCGGCCTTATAATGACCGTCTCGGCCTAATTGCCTGCCTTAAAGACACCACTAAACTCTTCAAAGGACATCTTGTCCAGCTCAGGAAGAGCATCCACCGCGGAAATAGCCTCGAGGAAGACGTCGCCGTCTTCCTCCCCCGTCATACCGTTGACGAGGGTGTATATCGTAGACACACCCTTGATCAGTGTGACGCTTTACGTCTCGCGGATTATCATCGGCGTCGCCGTTGACTCCCGCCGGAGAGATATTACGTCTCGGCGAGACCTGTGGGAACACGCACTCAGTGCCGTGCAGCGTCCCCACTTCCCGTCCCATCGGATCCCTCGATGTTATTAGCAACATACAACAAAGCGCTGATGGCTCCGCAGTCTTCGTCCAGTGGATAACGTGCCACTTCACGCACATTTGAAGGGCCTTGCCCAAAATGCCTTGGACCTCGTCCGACCATGTGACTCTAGGCATGCAGCTACTGCTGTGATAATTGAGCAGTGCTCAGTGGGTTGCGTACCACTCCACGTTCAGCCCGCGAGCCGTGCACGGAACTCCTGTCCAATACACCTTTGGTGTTCGACAACTCGGATATTCCGATCTCTGGCACGTTGACCGCCCCGATCCAGTGCCCGCGCCGATAGCGCTTCGACTTCCTAGCAGGGGTGGGTTCATGACTCAACAGCACTCCACCAGAAGACGTGTGCGTAGCACCCAAGGTCTTCGACCTCCAATCAATCCATGGATCATGGTGTGCCAACCATGCCATACCAAGGATAAGGTCATACCTTGAATTCAAGTCTAAGGCTAAACACCGTTCCATGCTATTCAAGTCAAGAACTTGACACCAAGGTCCACAGGGACCTCATGTCAAGACTTCAATGTATGTCCGGACAATACAGCGCAGGTATGGAGTAACTTTGTTAAACACCGTTCACTATAGTAGGTTCTAGCTACTTTTGAAGAGCTCTCGCTTTTAATACTATAATGCACGAGATCTTAGGTAACCAGTTACTTGAAGTTAGCCGCACTGATTCCGCTAGCTTTGTGACCGGAGTAGTCCCATACTTTACGAGCAGCAGGCGCTCTCTCCGAGGTCGCATTTCTCAACGCATATGCTCCACGGGATGGTAAAGCTCGCCAATGTAATCCTGAAGATCCGTTGGTTGTCTTAACTGCGTCCGTGAGATTCTTAACGCACGACCCATCATTTGGCCTCTTTGTTGGCCAACCCCAAAAGAGAATCGTTTATCCTTATACCAAGTTCATACCCTCGAGGTTCTTCTCGGAACGATCCAGGCGGGTGGGCTATCCAACCTTCAGGATAGCTTGAGGCCTTTGACCGTCTTGATCACGATGCGGCTACTCTAAGCCAACAAAGGTGTACCACATTAGCTTGCACGCTTAAGGGCGGGACGTTGTCGCCCTCAATGACAAAGTACGCGATTAATATTCACTTCATCTCTTGTTTGGAGGTTAGTATATCCGACTTCCACCTTCGTAAGCCAGAGCTACTATTTACCTATTCAAGGCAATACTCAATTAGTCCATAGCCTATTTGCTTCGAACAATTTAAGACTTACAGTACAATCCTCTTGACTGTCAGCCTGAGAAGCTAAGCAGCAAAACCAAGCAGGCTTGGTACTTGCTTGCATTTTGTTGAATGGTTTGACACCGACTTGAGCTAGTCAAAAAGCTTTGACGGTTCACAGCTAACAAAGATTTGATTGAGGTGTGGCTTTCGTTTAGTAATCTTGACCAAACCAACCTCATTCATAGGTTGGGAGAGCCTACTGTGAAGGATGACTGATCCACTGAAATAACTATATTTTAGTTTTGCTGTAATTTTTTCCACCATTTTGGTTGTCTATTCTGGGTCCTTGTGGCACGGTTGATCACGTTCGCTGCTGTCAATGATAGCTGACAGTTGTTTTTTGCTAGGTACCTGGAGAAAAGTGCTTAAGGGCTTTCCGCATTACATCAAAGCCATCGTGAATATCATGAGTGTTACTATGAGTATTGAATGTTCTCATACACTTTCATTTCAGGGATAAATCTTGTATCTGCTCAAACCGCATTTTGAAAACTACTTGAACCATCAGTAACTGCTTAAATCGTATTTGTGGCGCCTCAGCGCATAAAAGCGCAGTGTTTACGGTTTAGTATTTTCTATAGTTAATTCGATAACTTGACTTTAGCGTCTTTGCTTGCGAATAGAAAGTTTACACAACGACGTTACCGAATTAAAAATTGTATCTTTTTGTGTGATTGACAAATTTTGACTTCAATATTCATCATGAGTCGACAAATGTTAGCTAATGCATTATTCTGCTATCGTGAAGCAGCTACGACACGCAGAATTCACTTTATCAATGCAAAGTGATATGTCGCATAGACTGACGAACATCTGAGTATTCGTTGAACCGTAAGTGGAAAAGAGATTCTCGTCCACAACAACGCTTGGTCACAATGGCTTAGACTCGAGCAAGTACACTCGGAAGTCCCGCGCGCATAATTAATCGCGGGGAGCTCTTTGGTATGCATGTAGGATTTGTCTCGACAGCACGTATTAAATTTAGATCACTCTATTTTTCTCGTGTCTTCTTTCCAGGCTGCAAAACGCGCGGCCAATAGTATACGACGCTGAAAGTTTACTTTGTCCATCAAAGGCAGGGCAAGTACTTAGTGTGAGCCCGCCATGGCGCCCACAAACGCATCCAAAAATGTGCCTCCAACGCAAATTCAAGTCCGTTATCTTCAAGTCAGCGAGGGGCTTTGCAAAGCAGGCGTACCCTATACTGTGATTGTATGCGAATAGTTGGCTGATTTCATCCAATCAATCAGGGAATTTCTATGGCCGAGCCACAGACCATACTCTAATAATCCTTTTCTTCTCGAGATCCCAAACAAAAAAGCCAACTTTCCCCTTCGCTCGAGACGACGAAGATCGGGATTTCAACGTACTGCTGAAGGTGTACGTTGATAGACACTACTTTTGCACAATACCCAGAGGACATTTTTATCGTGAGAAGGTCTTCTATCCGAATGTGTAGCTTTTCAAGGGTGGGTATGCACTATTGGGTGACCGATAGCTCATGCATCGGCTTGCTTGCAGAGCCTTGAGCCATCATTGGTGCAGTGCTTTCTCCCTCTCACGACTGCAAACACTTGTCAAAAATGCGTGAAGTACACCTCAATAGCCAGTTGCTTGTTTATCAGCTGAGGGATGTATAAGTGTATCATCAAAGTACGTTTGTGCAAAAGATCTAAGTAACGGTGTCAGCAAATATTGAAAATGGCAGGGCGTTGGTAAAATACTTTGACATTACTTGCCGCTTCCACAGCACGCCGCTAATTGTGCTTTTTGCTGTGATGTAATGTGTGACCGTTGTATCTAGATCCGGAGATTTCCATTGACCAGCTCAAGTGCAATGCGCATCATCAAGACAGGCTTCTCAACAACTTATCATATAAGGAATCCTGTATAAGAGCTCCAGCAGCAGCACTGCGGACAACCTCTGAAGCATTTATTAGGTGAACGCTTTGTGGTTGGTTCTGGAACATTCGCCGCAGCTTATGCGCTTGCAGCCGGGCAAGCTTGGATTGCCGAGTAACGTCCAGCCCTTTAGTTGCAAGCTGGGCACCGTCGTGGGATCCACTGCGGGGGTATTGTAACACTATTATCCATAGAGAATGTGCGTGGAGTTTGTCGCTCGCGCAAAGGAGAGGCAAGGTGTAAATAGATCCTCAATCTACACATAAAGCTAGAACGACTGTACCGTTTCCGATCGCTCGGTGAAAATAAATGCTCCGAGTTTGGGATTGAGAGTCACTGTGACACTCTCAGTCAACCTCAACCGCCTCGCTGAGAAAAGCCTGAAGATCGTCGGCCACGATTACAACATCATTCCAAGTGGCTTGTTAAACCATGTGTGCACAATATGGACAGAAACCGCCATCGGACACTATGACCACTAAGCCAGGCGCAATTAGGTGCATCAGAAGAGAAGGGCTCCAAGCGCAGTGGATGCTCAAAGAGTTCTCGCTTTTGCGCGATGTCAACAAAAAGATATGTGTGACCCTTGCGCGGTTTAATTCGGGTTTATGAAGGGTGTCTTCGGAAACGGGATGTACAACATATACGTACACGTAACAGTATCGTCCCTATTAAAATCAATGCTCAAAAGTACAAATCCAAGGGTCATAATGAGAGTCTAATTAGGATTGGGATGGGTGAGGTTGCTGAGACATCATACAAGAGAAGGCCATGAAACGCGTGCTACTAGCCTCACGCTATGGTCTTGATATGTAATATAGCTGTTTAGCAGTGGGTCAAACTAAACTAAATCTGAATATATGCCACACTTTTATATGTAAAGCAAAATGGCATCTGATTATTTGCGAGACTCTCGGTTCTGCTCCTGGATGAAGTACATGAACACAGCTCTATAATTGTTTGCTAACAGGACCCCAAAAGTCGAGATTTCCTCTTTCCGATGGGCTCGGCAATGGTTGCAATCTGAGATAATTATATCATCATGCTTTGTCAGCCCTAGCAATCAAGCAAAATGTGCCATTTTTTATGTAGAACTCCTCAACAGCATTTATATGAAGCGACCGCGGGGCTGATGTGAGATTCTTTCACCCCTTGGGTAAGCTGCGCTGGATAATGCACACACTCGTGTATAAATATTATTAAATTCCACTGTTCTTCAACACCACCACGAGTGGCTCTGGTTGGTGTGAGTTATCGATTTGATTCATTCTGTCCGGCTTCATTTTACAGCACAACTTTCATACTTCACCTCACCGAGATTTAGCGTCAGGAACTGAGTCCGCGATGTCTTGGCTTAAGGCCATGATGCGCAAATGCAACATGCAGATGCCACAGGAGCGCATGAATATGCACTAGATTTACTTTTCACAATCATTGCTGATCAACTCAACAATACTAAGCTGTACTTCGCTACGCGGGATCGCCAACAGTCGCAGCCAAAAACGAGTTAAGCTGCACGTAACATACCTCGAAGAGAATGCGAACAAATCTCGTGTTTGATGTAGGCTGATCAAAGGCGTTCTACGATCCCACTCTTACAAATCCTCCAGGGCTATGTTGAAAGCGAAGCAAAGTATCACTCGCCCCCCTATTTCTATGCTACGTTTTTGGCCTACAGAAGCAAACCGGTTTTCAGCCGCTTGAGGTGTTTTAACCGATCGGTATGGTTGTCAGCTTCAAAAAGCATATCAAAAAAATGAATCTGATCAGCTACAGCCGCACGCTGAGACTCTCAAAAGAGTCTGTAATTTGCCATACCGGAGCAAGCTTACCACGAGAGGGTGGCCCTCCACCGGCTCTGCACAATGAGAAAGGGGTAGCCCACTAATATGTCAAATTGTATACAATCACGTTCACCATGAATTAGCAGGATCCAAGAGGCGAGAGGGATGCCTCCCATCCGAGAGCTTTTAAGAGCTCAATCTTTCTCGTCGGCAAGATTGCCTTGGCACTGTAATCGCTTAACGATATCACTATATTCTGACATAGTATCCAGAAGAGAAGACAGCTGCACAGGGCAACGCGTCTTCCACTTGCCGTTGGATATCGGATTTTTTTAGGCTTTCACTTTGTTCGTAGCCTTGATAAAGATGTCCCTGAAAAGATGGGCAGGGCTGCTTACTGCAGTTACATGAGGTGAGGGTAAGTACCACCTCGACGTTTACGTCATAATTTGTTCCTTGTAAAACTATGCGTTGAGCGATGCTCTAATGGTATGGAGAAGACTTTCGCTGTGGAGTTTGCAATTGCATGCTGGTACCAATGGATGCAATGGAGGAGACGGTATAATTGGGCTCTCCTAGAGTGCTATCATAGCGCAGTATTCAGAGAAGACAAACTGACTGTGACACTAACAGAGTTCTGGAATCATGACAGGACACTCTAATATGTTGCACCTATGCATTACCTAACTATCCTAAGAAGCACCAAAGGTGGTGGGTCATCATGAAAATACTCGCTTAAGATGCGGGTGGCGAAGCGTTTTATATAATAAGTTCGGGGACGCGTTAGCTGCTAGCCCTGAGCTAAGCATTACATGGATTAAGTGGCTCATAAATATAGCTGCACTTGATGAATGCCTTTGCAAGCTTATCCTTATCTTTTCGTGTAACTCCAGCGCGACGCCTAATGACATCGCGCAAGGGAATGACACCCTTTTATAGATTAAATTTACATTAAGCACTCTTGAAACCGAGTCACGAGAAATGCTTATAACTCGAGATGCTCTCGGCTTCGCCCTTGGGTGGAGTGACAGATGAATTCCTTGTGTGTTACAGACGCGGACTTGTAGAATCAGTGATTTATCGCTTGGCAACCCCGTTGCACACGTTTAATTATTCGTACCTATCAAGTCACCATTTTCGTAATGTGGTGGCGTCAAATTTCCATGCTGCTTACGGACATGCAGAGTTTTACGGCCAGGTATACCATCGCCGTGCTCGAAAATCCACTTGATTGCCTCTTTTTTACTTGGCGCATGACTCTCATAATGGATCAGCTGTCTGAAATTTGTATCTCGGCTCTTCGTTTGCTTCTGTAAACATCTTCTTGCCTTGAATTACTTCATCAAATTCAAAGGTCACTTACTCTAAAAAGTGCGAGGAGCTTTTTAACAAATATCAAGGAGCTGTAGAGCATCAAAGTATCATGGAGTATTACAAAATTAATGCGAACTGTGCGAATTGGAAAATACTCATGACATCGCCCAGCTTAAAAACATTCGGGACATCCGAAGTAGCTAGTACTGGATACTCTCGACAGTTTTTGGTATGCGAGCGAATCTCTTCTATTTACAGTTTTATGTCAATAATGAATCCTTTTTGCCCAAACTATATTTCTCCTGATTTCAGTCTGCTTCCCTTTTCTTCCACACAATGTATATCTGCCGCAGAGCCTCACAAAACCGCAACTAGATCATCCATCAACTAGAGATATTACATGTTGCTTCTTGTTGTATCTCCGTTAGCTTTTAAGGCAACACGGCTATATTTTTCTAATTGCTGCCGCATTCCATTTGTTCGAACCGGATGTGTGAGATAACACTGACGACACATTTTCAACATATGTTTTAAAAGAAAACCTAATGGTGACAACAAATTATGTCTAAAACTGATCAGAGAAGACGGCATACGAAAATTAAGAAGTACAGTCTTCGGGCAGAAATGTTAATTTTAAAGTATTTCAGTTGTATACAACACCAATGAAAAAAGAGTGTGTGTACAAAGCATTGTATACAGCGCACATAGTTACACATCCTCGCGGATTTCATGGTCTTAAATAAGGTTGTCCGAGTGAGTCTCCATCGACAGCCTCGTGCGACTTCGATAAGACATCGGCACGGCTACTTCCTGTCGGTGACTGAGTGGATACGGTGGATTTGGTCTGACCAAGAACGTCTTCCTTGTCTAGTCCAAATGAATCGCGTGACTCGAACCCATTTAAGCAAGATGAAGATGCTTGGGCAGCATGCATGAGCTTTGCTGGAAGGGGTGTCATAAGCTTGGTGGAACTCTCTGTCACAACGTTTTCAAATTCTTTCGCATGGCGTGATTGGAGCTGCGCAAACTCCAAAAATAGTTTTTGGAGCTCAACAGCCTTTTGCCCACGAAAACGTGCAACCTCGCGCATCACACGCGCATGCACACGTTCAAAATCATCTTTTGCAGCCACCAATTCATTGCTCAGTCGAGTAGCTGAGGGCGAGTCCGGGCCGTCACCGCTCACAGCTTTGCGGTGTGCCGCCAGCTGTGCTTGGTACAGGTAACGACGGTCTTCACGGACCGCCAGTGCTTTCCGTACAGCTTTGATCCAGCGCGCAATGTCATCGATACTGGCAGAGAAAGCCACAAGTTCTGCGTCCATCTGGCGCGCACGCGTGTCTAGGATAGCCAGTAGGGCTGTGTAGTAAGACGTAGGCATCTCATTGTTCTCTTCTTCCGCGTCCGCTACCCAGTTAAGACACTCGATGAGATCACAGTGAGCGCCGGCTGCAAGCTTGTTCTGCTGGCTGGCCGCGCGTACCTTGTTTTTCAGTGACTTCATCTGTGTGTACAGCTTGGACACATATTTCACGACCTTTGTAAACTCAGGATCTTCAATAATACCGTTGTTATCGCCGTCTTCACTATTGCGAGGACCAAAGAGGTTAAGTGTGTCATTCTCCACCATACGCTGGTATGTCTTGCCCCACCAATTGTTCAGCTGCTGTGTATGCTGCACCACTGATGCCATAGACGTGGCGTTGAACGAGTTGGCGCGTTGAGACTCGGCCTTTAGTGCTGTGAGTTCTACGACAGAGCATTCGAGGAAGCTATGAAAAAAGTTGGAATTTCGAAGTTCGTCATGTTGGGCAACTTTGAGCAAGAAGCGTTCGAGGCCAGCACGGCGATGTTCAAGGAATTCAGATCCCTGAAGTAGCCCCACGACTTTGGCTGGTAGCGGAGGAATCACGTAACCCGCACATTGTTTGGACATCTGTTGGTGCAGCCATAAGAAATCCGAGTAGCGGCGATCCACCTCTATGTTACCAGCCGATGAGACCTTGTACACATAGTACGAGTTGACTCCCTCACCCACCTTGCCGGCGTTGCCTACGGTGATCTTCACTTCGCTGGGGTTGATGTTTAGGTCCAAAGCGTTCATATTGTCTGGTTATGCGGGAGAGTTGTTCGTGCTTCTTGGAGTAATTTGCAGAATGAAAAGCACGGCTGACCTGGCACCTGACTGACAAGGTTATTGTGTGAAACGGACGGCGCGAAAGGCCATAGGGCGGAATCCTCATCAATTTCTTCTTACAACCAGACATCCCAATGATGAATTTCATACTGTATATTTGAACACAATTCTAAATTTTGAGTATTATTATTTTATTACACTTAATAAATAATAGTCTGTCTGAGAGTAGTCAAACGAAAAGGAAAGGAATAAGTTACTCATCACAATACCACAAAGTTTTCAACCTCCTTCCCACAAAGTCAATATTTTCCTTATTGTTCAATTATTTAGAAACCAGGATTGATTTTACTGTATCAGCTCGAATGTCTGATTCCTGAGATAACCCCACAGCTGCAATAGTTCAACGGCTCACCGTCGATTGCACACAAGAGATTGTCCACAAAAGTTACTTATTTTTTTGATCGCAACATCAAAAGTCATTTGATCATGTCAGATAGTCGCGCTGCTAACCAAAAGATTCGATACACAAGGGGCACATGTATCAATTTGTGCAGAAGAGACGAATATTTGAAGTCCGAACTTCAAACACTAGCTGTTACTCATTCTTGCATAGTAGTATGACCCCATCTGTACAAATATTTTGTGCCCTTTGCTTTATAAGCATCGTCTTCGCCGAATGTTTCTGGATCCTCGTTCTCATCTAAAAAAACAAAGTACGACATAGAAAGCACTTTAAGCAAGAGTCGACTTCAACACAGTGTAAATGTTGACGACAACATAAGGATAGAAGTAAAGTATGAGGAATTACTTGTTTGCGTTAAAGCCCAGAATTCGTGGAAACTTATCGCGTAGTGTCCTGGAACGATATAACCATGATCTATTTGACGATTCTACCGCTGATTCAAATTAGCAGTGCGTAAATGAGGTACGTTCTGCACATGCACATTGCAATATTAGCAAAGTACTGATGACTACAATGAGCCCCTTAAGGATCAATCGTGGGACCCATGGGCGCCTTACGTAGTGCGATGCATGAAGTTTAATCATCGATATAGGGAACCGATGTATAGGGAACAGATACTGAAATTAGTCCTAAATATATGTCTATCTTGATATAATAAACAAATACGGTATCTAGTTCCTACAAATGCTCTCCGTATAAATTATACCTTTACACAACAGTAATCACAGGGTCTTTGGATCAAACAATCTTTATGCATGATGCATGGCAACCCCATTGCATTTGTTATTGATTGAGTCGTGGAAGTACTGTAGAGCATGTGTTGTTCGGACTAATTTATGCCCCCTGATCAATCAGACATGCTTGGCAATTTGTAAGTTACAATGAGATAGATAAACTGGTGTTCAAAGGGCCAAAAGCGGTAATTGCTCGCCTGTGAGGGTTTAGTAGCTATGAGAATGCACTGGTGAGATCCCGACAGAAGCATCACGAACAAGCTTATGTTGGATCATAACCGACTCTCCTTTTCAGGTTGCTAATGCAAGCCATCCATCCTATAGACTCTGAAGCCGTGCGCAAGAATAAGTGATCAGGTGCACTACTTATGTGGAGGAGGTAAATTTAAAACTGGTGGTTTAGAAGCGACATCTGTTGAAATGTTCACAACGCCTTATCAGGCTTACTGGAATGGCAGCTGAAGGCAATACAGGTTTCCAGCTTTGAAAAGGGCCTTCAAACGTGTGCTGCTTGCACCGAGACCTCTGCGTCTACATCATTTCTTTTGCGGGGCGATGGATGATGCAGTATTGCTATACTGCTTTTGTGCTGGAACTTTCGTATTAGAGGTGGAAGTTTATCAAGCACTCAAGAGGTACCCGCGCTGAAGGGAAGAAGTGAGATCACACAACTGTCAGGAAGCTCGCAGATGTTTCATATGCGGCCGTATGAAGCACCTGCGCCCTATGAGCACCCTTCTCTCTCAGCTATGTGGTATCAAGTTTGTCTGACGTACCCTTTGCGAAAAAACGTAGTCTCCCAGCAGGTGCAGGATGATCTTCTGGTGAAGAACAGATCTCTATTCTACCTCATGCTGGTCGAGATCACCGGGATGCAACCTTGGAACTCAAAGATGCTGTCTCACAGCCCAGGTGTCAATTGCTGAATTATACGACCCAGGATTCATGAAGACGGGCAAACCTTAAATAAAGTCGCCATTCCGCAGAGGCTTTGTTATTGCCGAATTCGAAACTGACATCCGTTTTTCTAAGAGGACACTGCTATTATGTTGAAAGCGTTAACCTTCCGGTAAATTTGAAGACTTTGACGGCTCCAAAGTGTACCGCGTTATAAATTTAATTTTTTTGTCGAGATTGTAATAAACGACGGTTTATCGCGACTTACAAAGTGTATATCTGGTAAGATGTTTAGTATCTGGTGTATGCAAATATCACATACAACGAAGCTTTTGAAAAGAAAGAATGACTGTGTGTCGCGGTCTCTTTGTTCAAAACTAGTGGTGACATGTAAGAAAATACTATGTGTCCTATTCTTTTGTATAGGACGATTAATTATGAGTCGCAATTTTAAGGGCAGGGTCCTGATGTTATCGAAATAGTTCGATGAACGTCATTGCTGATTAAACAAAACCATGTGACGCCCCGCCTTACGAAGCAGCAAAACTCTTTGGTATCGTGACGAATGAAGTCATATGGTCGTAAATGGGATGACGAGATAGTTCTTAAGGTGGATGTTTGCGAAAATTTGTGAGGCGGTGAAGTCACTAGAACAAAAGAGGTTTGTAGCATATGGACTGAGCTCACCATCTGTCGGAGATGGTTTCATCATTAAAAATGACCGCAAAGCACCGATAGTGAAAGGATTATAATTATTATCCTAAAGGGTTATGATTATCTTTTGATCATTTGATGAAATATATCACGACATGGTAACAAGAGACGCATAACGTCTGTTTCTTCCAAGTCAGGCACTGCGTCATCAATTTGACTTGCTTCCTGAAACCCAATATTACATCACATGGCAATAATCTTACCAATACATTATAGTTCCATTCTTTCGTGCGATGTATGAGAGGATTTATTATGAAATACTAAGTTGTTCGAGCAGGAAGCTATGACAGTGGCTGGTTATGCTTAAGAGTTGTCGTACGCACCGGCGACCGCAACCTTCTTGTGAAATAGTTGCATGACCGCATCGCCAATATGCATGGACCAAAACGATGGTATTTTCGACCATTGTCGTACAGAGCACAGTGAGTCAGATGTTAACATCCACGTCTAACTTTGCAGCATAACGTTTGTGTATAAATCCAGACAAGCCGTCTACTAGCATCGACACCTTCATCGTTGATTCCCAAAATTCTGAAATGGATGAATTGACATCTGGTATATATCCAATATCCTGGTACTGATTTCTTTCCATTATCAGGTGCCACCTTTAAAAACAAAATTCCAGAATATATAACCTAGAATCGGACTTGTTCCTTTATCAGAAGATTTTTGGCCGTGCTCAGGGTTGATATTTTTTGTTATGATAGAAACTATTCTCTGCAAGCTTTTAAGGTTTATGAGCCCAAACGCGATCACGACAAGCTACACCGAGATATTTAACGGCGAGAACTGTCAATGTCGGCTCTTGAAACTCGGCTTATCATTTGCTGATCCGTAACTCTTTGTCTGCCGCCGAGGAGCGGACAAACTTACGCGATTTTCACATGAAACGGAGCTAGCACGACCGCAGGTCAAATTCAAATCCATGCTTTGTGATAACTATATTATGGGCCACCTGGTTGAGTTTGTTGACCTTTGCATGCGTTTGGTGTCAGTGGGTGACGAGGTTGGGGGAGATAAGCGTTCGAATATCTTTATAGGAAGAGGTATACCTGAGAACGCCAAAATTATAAACATTATTGTACCGAGAGGAAAGATGGATTCATGCGCAGTGAGGGAGGCGTTATGAGCAATATGATCCGAAAACGCGAGTCAGGCGGCTTTGCCGCAGATATTACGGAGAAATACAGATTATTTTTTTAAACTGAAGATTTGATGAGCCTTGGGTTCAGGTTGTAGCTACTCTTGGAGTAGGCGGATTGCATTCTGCATTCCGCTAAATTTTAAGTATAGAACGAAGGTCGCCGATCTTAACTAACTTCCCTCTAAGCGAAAGAGCTACGGCGGCCGCGCTGCATAGGAAGTCGTAAGGGTTGGTAATCACTTCTCTCTACTTTCGTCATATACTGTTATAGAGATAGAAGAAATATCCTCCGGTAATATGTGCAAGAAATTACAACATGGTAAGGTTACCGAAGTAGTACGGTTGGTAGCTGAGCTCGTCGTCCATCTTGAATGAAACTGTCTTTGAAATATTCACTGGGTGCCGAGGAATTGAAGCTAGACGACTACCCTGAAGTATCATATTGATTTGTTTCGGGAAGATGTTTCGAAGTGGTACTAAAAGACCCACAAAACATGCCAACGTACAATGGCTACACTTAGCCATTACTCGAAGAGACGTGCCTTCTGCGTGCATTGTGGAGATTTCTAGCGATAAAAATACAGTATAGTGTCCCCCCATGCACATGTGACATCTTCTCTGATGTGAAGTCATATAAATTCCGTGTGATATAGATGCTGGTTCCTTCTAAGGGATTTTTTTACTGATGATTAGAGAGACATTTCTCTTTCCTTTGAACTAAGTGACGTTAGCCACTCATTTTTGCTAGGAACTTTTCACGTAAATATAGGCTCAAGCTTTCCAGAGCTCTAGATCAGTGCATTCTGGATTGTATAAAAACAGAAGTATACGTAAAAGGAAAACCTTTAACAAACCTTGGGGATTTGTATGCAGCCCGAAAAATCACCAATTCATTTTGATTCGTTGCAAATTTGCTTCGAGCTTTAAAGTCGTTTTACTACCCTCCAGGTCGGGACTATCCTTTCCCTTCACGTCGGGTCACTTTTTTGCGTACGTGTTGTGTTTAACGTCTGTCGTGAACAACGTATTTTAACACACCGAACCAATTTTCAAAAGAGGATCTGCCGCATAACAATCAGAACGGCCTGGTTGGCTACAGTATAGGCTCTTGGTCCGTGCTTTGGATATAATTGGGTTCTGATGCGAGAGTGGATGTGCTTTCACTGCGGTGTTTTTAATGATTGGTTATGCCACAGGGATGGTCGAATATGCCAGCGATGTTTGGTCTTTCCACGACGTTGGCGACGAGCTTTTCAGACCACAGTTTGGCTATACGCAAGCCTAGTTCAAGGATATATTTGCTTATAGTCATGCAAAGCACGAAAGACAGATGCTGATTGCTAAATTGAACATCTGCACACAATGTTCGAGTTGATGCATTTACGTATGCTATTCTTTAATAAATATGATTCGCAAAGGAAATTCCCATTCTGCACTGCTTCGTTGAGGGAGAGCGTGTATATTGGCAATTATGGCGTACCTGTATGACTATGAAAAAGCGGCTTGCCTAGGTACAGTGCGAACAATGCCGACTCACCGCAAAAGCTTCACAAATCCTTATCAAAAAAATACTGCGTGCACGGCGTTTAGATTATAGAAAAATTCCTCAAGTTTGTCCCGATTCTGGCCCGTCCAAAATCAAATCGTTCATTTCATGTCGGCTATGACGCTTATGGCTTTGTGCAAAAGCTTGTGTATTACTCCCGGCGGCATGACACGAGGTATCATGTAAGACTCAAAGTGCTAGAATAGTACTACAATGTTCATGACAAAAGCTACATGTATTGAAACTTGTCATCATAAAGTTCGGGGTGCACTTGCCTGGCTCAAAGCAGTTTGTGATCTATCTCGATCATGCGTCGTTGTGGGGCTGGTGCGCAACGACTTGATTACTGAAAACAGTTATATATTCTCTTGCAAAGTGTAAATTTGACAGAATTTATTCATCGGGCTGGTGTAAAAAGGTGGTATATGCGCTCTCGAGTCGCCACCACTATACATTGCCAAATGATGCGATGGCGGCGCCGCCATTTGATGAGGCTATACCTATATCGAAAAGATCAGACGTCACATTTATCGTAGTGGGAATGAAAGATATCTCGGAGCTTAGATGCTGTTTTATCGAAGAGTCGTGTTATTGTGAATAAATATGTATAAGTGGGTCAGTACGTAATATGTGAAAGGCGCTGGCGGGTTAAACCCTCACGACAAAGAGCGACACTTTTGGCTAGCCTGACTTTCTCGCGGAATGCTGGCATTTTAATGTATCGCCTTTGCTCTCAGTCGCGGCGGTTAATCCTGATATTGTGGTCTTTGTGGACCGTCTAGCAAAATTGACTCATCTTTCTACTGTCAGCATTGTGTGATCGACGGGAATAAAGGCAAGATATTCCTTAACAAAGCCTTACGCCAATATGGCGTTCCGGTAGCCACTGAACCGATTAGAATCCGCACTTTGCCAGCAAAATTTAAAGCAAAAAAGGTTTAGGTGCTCGTTACCAAATTAAATAAGTCAGTTGCGTGATTTGCGTTATTGAAGGTGTCTTTTAAAGCACTTTGCACAGAGATCTTGCGGCATTCAAGTGAGCATCTCCCACTCATTGATTTTGCGTTTAACATCGCAGTACATGTCACGACAGGATGAATTTCACGCTCGAAATGGCTTGACCAACTTACAATTTCCTGGTGCCATGGTCGCTTACAAATTAACACACTCTTGGCCTATATCTACTTTGAAACGGGGAAAGGCTGCTAGATTCAGCGTGCTTATCACAAGTGGGATGTTTCCGACCTTGATGTGAACTCGCTCGGATCGGTAGTTGATGTAGGTGCAAGTATCAGAGGTGATGAGCCTTCACCTCGACAACCTCGTCGTGCCTTGTACTTAGCATAGTCAGGTATGAGTCGACGCTCAAAACGGTCTTATGCTTGGCTTGTAAGGCTTGAAGATAAGCAAAATGGCGTGCTTTTCTCATTCAAAGCTCAAATTGAATCTGATACTCATCGACACTCTTGCCTGATCCGAATACTTAAGGTAAAACCCTGATGTACGATACGAATTTCATCAACAACTGCTGCTTTAAGCACGGGCAACACTACGTGTCGGTTGTCGCTAATTGAATATCGCGCGATCGAATTACTTTAGGTAAAGTAAAAGGTCCGCACGCATAGATCTAACGGCTCTGTTCCAGTATTGTGAATATCTTTCGTCGGTTTGACATCGTAATCGCGGTGTGACTCTTGTGCTTGCAGTCGAGCAAGCTGGACTCCTGATAACTTATTCAGTTTGTACGTGATTATCTGGATAGAGTCAGCATATCACCAACAAACTTCAAGGTTGGGTATCGCAACACTTTTCGTCGATGATACAGAGCACGAGTTGGACGCTGGCTGAGGTGCCTGATCTGGACTCGGGGGGAGGGGGTCACTATGACCTTGTCCAGCGGAAAACAGATCAGTATCCCCATCCAGTATTTCTTGCAGTGCGTTGGTAGCGAGAAGTGCGCCTTTTCAAAGATCGGAGATGCATTCGTCTACTACATTAATAAAAGATGCTTACCCGGTGCAAGGATGCCCTGAAAGCAGCAGAAAATCGTATCAAATCAGTACTGCGCAACTGTACAAAATTCACGTCGCACTTTGTGATTGTGAATATCCTTAAGTACCGAAGCATCGCTAGTTTGGAAATGATTGGACTCCGTGACGGAGACGTCTTTTGTTTTATACACATTGGCTGCTAGCGGCTCCTCAGATGATAGAGACGACTTTAAATGAGAGATAATTAAACGCACATGTTGACTCTAAATTTAAATTAAATTTACCTAATTTATAACTAACAAAAAAGAGGAAGTCGATTTAGGCCAGCTATTCTGCTCCTCAATACGCATGCTATCCACAGCCGTGGTAAGCACTTGCAGCTCAAATCGGCGCTTGTCGCCCTTGCGCCATCAATTTTCTGTGGACTCAAGCGCCTGATCGTCAGCTTGTTCCTTGTATTTAATGTCCTTGATATGCGGCCGAGGCGCCACAGGCTCTCACAGTGGCGAGTCCAATCTCAAATCCAGCACCGTTGTTATAATTGTGGTAATTCGCTAAAACTTGCTAGAAGCATGATATCAAGTTCTCCTCGCTGATCGGATAGGCGAACTGTTTTACCAGTTCCTTGCTCTTGTTTATGTACACAGCTCATAATCTGGATTTCTCATCATTGTCGCGAAGAAGCGTCGACGAAGTAGACAAAGATCTCCAACTCGAAGTGCTAACTACAGACGCGCCCACGCATCCTTGGCACTGTCGACAGGTCAAACCAAAGTAAACACTAAGTCCTCGACTGCAAGATTTATGATCGCCATGCTTTTGTATATTTTCCTCTTGATAGTCGACTGATCCAGCGCATTCTAATTATATGAATTCCTGCAGCACAGAGCATCCTAGACCTCCTTGAGGTTCTTGGTTGGTCTTTGTTCTCGACTCTTACTCCGTGCGTGCGCTGACGCAGACTCGTAGTCAAAGCTTCCTTCGTGCAAAATGCACAGCATTATGGCTGCATTTATGACATCGGCTTTCAACCTCGAGGCACAATAAAAATATTTATCTGACGTGTACGTGCACCGACCCCCCCCCCCGTTACCTTCTTCCTCTACTACATTTCTATATATCAATTATTATTTTGCCTTAAGGTTAAGATTATCTTGCCATTTGTTTAAATGTGCATGTAATAAAAAATTCTAAAATGTACGTCACTCAGCCCCCAACATATCTTACATTATTTTTTCATTTTTTAGGTGTAGTATCTCACATTTCGCCAAGGGACGAGGCGCTGATGACGGCTCTATGTCACGTTTCAGTGCTCGAAATTGTGCAGGTGACGTAACCTGCGTGTCGATTACAATTACAGTACCTATGTAAACACAACATGTCCCGTCACTGTACAGTAACTCCAAACTTTCCAAGAATCATATGATACTTGCTCTTCAAACTGGCAGTGGAATGTCGACAAGGAGGTGTCATTACTACCTCTATAACTACTTCTCACTCTGAGTGAGCTCATTAATCATTTCATTCTGATTGCAACACTTCAGCTTTAAGTAATGATGGGACACGAGACCACAACTGCCGCTTTGGGTCTGAATGAGCACGGAATTCAAAACGACTGCAAAGTGTTTCACAATCTAACGTACGAACAGCTTGCAGACCACGAAAAGAAATACAACGAAGGCACATTTGTGGCAAATGGCACTTTTGCTGTCGACACCGGAAAGTTTACTGGTCGTTCGCCCAAGGATAAATTTATTGTCAAGCAGAAACCATCCCAAGACAACGTCTGGTGGGGCTCAATTAATCAGCCTACGACACCTGAGGTGTTTGATGCACTGTATGCTAAGGCCTCGAAGCACTTTAGCACTGTGGATCGCATATACGTATTTGATGGTTATTGTGGTGTGAACGAGAAGTCCCGCTTGAATGTGCGCATCATTACTGAGCTAGCGTGGCAACACCACTTTGTCACCAATATGTTTATTCGCCCTAAGTTTCAGAGCGTTGTGAAAGACTTTCACGCCGACTTCACGGTCATAAATGCGTGCAGCATTGTCGATGAAGACTGGAAAGCACACGGACTTCACTCGGAAGTGTTTGTGATTTTTAATATCGAAAAGCACTTGGCAATAATCGGCGGTACGTTTTACGGGGGTGAAATGAAGAAGGGAATCTTTAGTATGATGAATTATTATCTGCCGCTAAATGGTGTGATGGCCATGCACGCTTCAGCGAATATCGGCAAAGCAGGCGACACAGCCATCTTCTTTGGACTCTCTGGAACGGGCAAGACGACGCTATCTGCCGATCCAAAGCGCGAGCTTATTGGTGACGACGAACATGGCTGGGACGACGAGGGTGTATTTAATTTTGAGGGCGGTTGTTACGCCAAGACGATCGATTTGAGCAAAGAGAACGAGCCAGATATTTTCGATGCAATCCGCTCAAACGCTATGTTAGAGAATGTATGGATTGACGCCAATAATGAACCTGACTACTTCAACTCAAGCAAAACAGAAAACGGTCGTGTATCGTATCCGATATACCACATTCCACACCACCAGATGAATTCTCGTGGTAATCACCCAAACGCCGTAATCTTCTTAACGTGCGATGCATATGGAGTGCTTCCTCCTGTATCGAAGCTTTCGGCGGGTCAGGCGCAATACCATTTCCTTTCGGGTTACACGGCCAAGGTGGCGGGTACAGAGCGTGGCGTCACTGAGCCACAGGCGACGTTCTCGACCTGTTTTGGAGCTGCGTTTATGACGCTGCATCCGACCAAGTATGCAGATCTATTAAAGACAAAGCTACAGGAACACAACACGAACGTGTACTTAATCAACACCGGCTGGACTGGTGGCGTTTACGGTGTGGGCAAGCGCATGAAGCTGCTGTACACGCGCAAGTGTGTGGATTCAGTGCTTGACGGCAGTATCAATAAGTCAACGTTTGTGAAGGATCCTTTGTTTGGTTTTGAAATTCCGACGATGGTGGAAGGCGTGCCATCCGAAATTTTAAGCCCAAAAGTTTCGTGGACGGACAAGGCCGCTTTCAACGAAACAGCTCACAATCTCGCCAAGTTGTTTAAGGAGAATTTCAAACAGTTTATTTTGCCAGACAACGACCTGTCAGTGTACGGCCCGACCGTGTAGCGGCTGGCTGAGATCCGTTTTTCGTCCACATTTATCATATGAATCAGAAGTAGACTTTGATTTAAATAGTGTCGTTTGCATCATTGCTAAGCTGCCTTGTGTTTTGTCCTGTATAAGCGACACAAGTCTGAAGTGTACTTTAACAGGTCAAGATTCGTGGAATTTTTCACGCTTCTGTGCATTACCCGTAAGTTTATCATTTATGTGTAGCTTTGGGTGCCACTTTCGTAGTGATAGCAAGTACAAAGTTGTGAACAATACTTGCCAGTCTTTGGCAGTTCAGTTAGAAGTTGATTGTATGGCTTGTTGATCTTATGATACAGTGTGCAAAGCTGTATAACTGGGCCCGCTCAAATACCGCAGCTCTGTGATGTCACTGACTTGCACGCTATACAATTCGTTGTCAGGAGATTTTTGGAAAGTCACGGATTCGTCTTTAACTTTAAGGTCCCAACTTGACAACTCGAGTATAGTACACGTTGCATTTGTAGACTGCACCTGCCCGCATTTCCAATCACTTAGCACAGGCTGGCATGTTTCGAGACACAGCGTGAGCGTTTTATAAGCAATAACGTCCTTCAATGCGAAGCGTGAAATGTTGGCAGATGCAGCAGGGAAAATTATCAATGCATTGGACAGATTCTGATCACAATATATGCATTGTTAGTATAAACTCTCAGTTTGCATGCTCAGGCAAAGTAAACGTACCAAAGCCTTTGTATAATTCTCATTTGAATCTTGTGTCTTCTCATCAAGCACAGTTGCTACGATTTCGTAAGACCGCTTCCACCTTTCTCCATGCTTGCTATTTCGCTTGTGGTCATTTCCAGAATACGAGACTTTAGAAATTTCATCGCTCTCGACTATTTGGCTGAAAGAAGATGCTGTCTGATGGGTTTGGCTCAGGGATTTATATCGTTGGTAACTTGACGATGCAGGACCGTACTTTGCTAATTCGGGTGCTGGTAGTCTCTTAGCAATCCAGTTGTCGGTCTTGGACTCTACCACTTCAGGATCATGCTCAATAGAAGTCTGTTCTCCAGTGATTTCGTCAAAAAGTACATGACTTTTTGCTCGGGGATAGCCTCGGGGACCAGCAGTAGAACCTCCAATTTGTATATCCACCGATGATGCCATGTTTCCTCGCTTCGTAACGCTTGAAGCGCTATCTTGCTGTGGTAAAGCAATATCTTTTGCAGGTAATTGTACCAGCGACGTGTTATTTACCTCCGTTCTTTTTTTCTGTCGTTTCCGGTTTCGTTGTCTCAATCGTCGTCGTCTTCTTCGACTTTTGTTCTTTGTCTGTGCTGGTGCGGTTGCCTTGCTTTCTGAGCCCATTAAAACTTTGGCAAGGCTAACATCTTTTATAGGTGGTCGAGATACTTGGGGAGGAAATTTATCTTCGGATTCGTTGTTTTCCGAAGTCTCATTCGAGCATTCACTACTACTACTGTCGCAACTCGAGCTAGAGCTGGAACTCTGCACTTCGATACGCTTTTGCGCAGTTATCCTACAACTTTCAGTATCTGCTTTCGACCGACTTTTGACAACCTTCTTTCTGTCTTTTGGTGCCCTCATTTTCTTAATAGATTGCTTCAGCTCCATCTTGCTAAGTTTCCGCTTTCTTTTCCTCGGTTTTTCAACTTCGCTTTCAGAATCTGTCAAAAATCTATTGGTTTTGTCTCCTATTAGTGGACAATCAACAGTAATCGTATCGTTATCTCGCACGATGCGGATGCTTTGCGTGGCCAAAAGCGGCAATTCCTCCAGACGCATTTCCAGCCCCATGGAGCATCGCTTGTGCAATTCAAACTCACGCAGAAGCGCATATGACATATCACCGACAAGCTTCGCGTCATGCGGAACTAGATACCAACATGATGAGAATCCATAGCGTCGCTGCACATGACGTCCGACTTCGTCAGTAAACACGAGTCGAACGCGCACATTCATCAGGGTGACTGATGGATACGTTATTCCACGGTGTTTTGACCAATCAAGAACATAATACTAATCTGACTTGACAATGGATCGCATCAAGCAATTGCATGCACACATTAGCGCGTCTCCAGCATCTCCTCCTTCAACAAACGTATTCGTAGCCCCAAGAGCAGAAGGCTGCCCACAAAACGTCTATAAAACAGTGCTTTTACCTGCTGCACTTGAATTTGTCGTGGAATTAGCTGCTGCATTTCAGCAAGATGTTCAGCATGTGATACAAAATAGCTTACCCAGCTTCAATTCTAATGAGTTGCTGACCAAAAGAATAATGCTGTTCAGCTACACTCAAGACGTCATACACGACGGCTTGAAATGTTACAAAGCGAAGTAAAGCCTTTTTTTCTGGAGGATACGCGAGCGATCCGAGAAGACAAAGCGTGGCGTATCGACCCATTACCTCCCGCACTGATGGACCGGCGAGTTGATATCGGAGATGTTTCTCCTGTCAATCATGTACATTTATTACGTGCTCTAAATTCTGGAGCGCAGGTGCAGTCCTCCAAAAAATTAGGAATTGGTCAAAGTGGAAAGCTGATGTTTCCGTTGTGCTGTGTTTACATCATGAAGGGTGTGCAAGTGGATTTTGACGACGGACACTGTCCGACATGGAACAATACGATTTGGGGCCATTTTAATTTAATGCAAGCAGTGAGAGGCCTACTAGTAGCATCGGGGGAGACGATGGTAGCGAATCCAGCACTTCTTATTGTTCGTCCAAGAGCCTGGAATATGGATGAGCCGGTTCGTGGACAGCTTAATAGTTTGTTTACTATTGTCCATAACACTCTTATGACAGCATGTTGTGGTAAACGGTCGACATGTGCCGGGAGCGCTATTTGATTTTGGGATGCACATGTTTCACAAGTATGTTTGATTCTTGATCTCGCTAACAAAAACTTAAATATGCATACCTGACATCAAATATATCAGCGGTAAGCGCTTAGTAGATACCGCAAAGGGGCCTTATTTGTATCTTTCCAAGGTATGACGATCTAGTGCATTTAAGTCGCGACTTGTGGGCGATGCCTTATTTGCTTTCAATAGCTGGAAGGGTACAAAGAAGCCGCGTTGTGGAGAAGAATATTTGAGTACACGGAAAAAAAACTCGAGTTTGCTCCCGTATGCTTGACTTTTGCTGCTTCTATTTGGAACTATTGACTGAAGATTAGCTGGAATAGGGAATCATCAAGGCCACAGTGTTGATCGAAAATATTTTTGCTGCGTTCGAGATGGAAGAGATTCTCTATGAGCTTCGTCACCACTCTTGTGGCTTAAATTGTGGTATGTGGGACTACACGGCGTCCATTGTAGTAAACTTCCGCCATCAAGTTGAATTTGTGCTGCCAGACCGTCAGCAGTATGTATCAATGCAATCGAGTTATCTCAGGTATGGATAATAATGTCGCTTGCAGCTATATTAGATTGCGTTGACTTGTTTGACATTGACTCAGGAATTACATGAATCTACTAATCTCCACCTGCAAGCGTCGTGAAGCACCCGCAACTACTGGGATGGTTCCCTTTGTTCTGTCGAAGTTACCATCTGGAGTATTACAAGCTGAAATTATCAAAAAAATAAAGTCGGGTAAGATGATGGAAGCTTTGGCGGGGTCTGACGGTGCGCTGGTATATGACGTCGCACTCACTATGCCTGTGGCCGAAGTATTCACAACAGCGCGTCAACGCAAGAAAAAGGCTGACTTTCTTTTCTTAAGAGCTGTAAATGAAGAAATGGTGGCTCAAAAATTGCTCACACTTCCTCGTGGAGACGTATCCTTACGGTCCGTAGAATTGAATGTACGCGTTGCGCTTTTATATGTGCTTCACTGGCTTTACGGACAAGGCACTGTCGTCGTAAATGGATGCATTGAAGACTCAGCAACTGCTGAGATTTCACGTGCGCAGTTATGGCAATGGGTTTATCATCGTGTGCCAATCGCCGAGACGTCGCAGCAAGTCGATGCCTTGTAAGTACAGTCGTAGCCAAAATTGGGTTGTTGCACGCGCTTGATGATTTTGCTCTTTCTGCCGTTTGTGCATATTGTAGTCTTATCAATAGGATGCTACAAATGGTTTCAGATGAAGAAAATCGAGATGAGCGGCACATCCCTCAGTACATTAAAGCAGCTCGGCGGCTCGTATTTCTCTTGGCAACAATGCGTTTCCCACCAACGTTTCTTACAACGTTTCTTCAAGAGAATAAAGTAATCGTGCACAATCTCGAGCGTGAGGCGGAAGGCTTGAAGTAGACTCACAGATTAAACAGAGTTACTACGACAGCTGAGCGTAATGAAGTATATTGAACTGCTACATATCTATCAGTAACAATAGATGGGAGAAGGATATGTATGGTAAGGAACCACATATTATGCAAAGCTTTCCATGGATGTGGGCGTGTTGCTAACCACTTCATACCCTTTACCTTTCGGTGAAATCACAGCGTTGTCCTTATCGCGTTTCACAAAACTCTTGACAACCAGATTTCGGTCCAAAATTTGATGTAATTCCTCATCTGCAATGCCACCGCTTTCGACGCCCTGACGAATTTCAACGTCATCCTTTAACAGCTCCTCCAACTCTGCATTTGTAAGTTTGGCGCTCTCATCTGGCGTCGTTCGCTGCTTGAATCCTCCGCGCTGAATAACGACGCGCTCTAATTTTCGTTTTTCGAAAGCGCGCTGAGTCATGCGGTCTTCGAAAGAGTTTTCAGTCACAAGACGATAGACGATGATCTCGTTCTTTTGACCAATTCGGTGACAACGATCCATGGCTTGATTGTCCTGCTGTGGATTCCAATCTGAGTCGTAAAAAATGACTGTGTCAGCTGCAATTAAATTAATTCCAAGGCCACCAGCGCGTGTCGACAGCATGAAAACAAATATGTTGTCATCCTCGTTTTCTGCGACCGATCCAGCAGAAACCTTGTTAAATTTTTCCATTTGATCCACACGATCCATCAATTTCGTGCTTCCATCAAGCCTGCAGTAGCTGTATTCGCGCATGCAAAGGTAGTCTTCTAATATGTCAAGCATCCGTGTCATCTGGCTGAAGATAAGGACTTTGTGACCCTTGCGCTTGAGCTGCCACAACATTCTATCCAGAATATTTAACTTTCCCGAAGCTTCCACGATCTTTTCGTCGGTCACAACATCTCCACTAGCCGTCAAAGGCTCATCAAACAGATAGGGGTGTAAACAGCACTTCCGCATTTGAATCATTTTATTTCGCAAGGTTGTCGTATTAAATCTCTTTTGGGTCTGAAATTTGCCATACTTTTTCTCCATTGCCTTCGCGAGCGTATTGTTGCGAATCATATCGTAATACTCTCTTTGCATCGCAGTCATGGAGCAGTAAACGAAAATCTCTGTCTTTGAGACCATTTCCTTCACAACATCTGCCTTGAGCCGACGAAGAAGAAAAGGACGAAGAATTTCATGTAATTTAGCAATGACTTCGACCTTTTTTTCACCCTGTAAGACATCTTGTGCAGCTACTGACTCACCTGCTGCTGCAGCTGTGGCAGCAGCATCAGGAGTGAATGAAAACCAGCTCTCAAATAGCTCGAGATCATCGAAGACATCAGGAAGAATGAAATTCAGTAACGACCATAACTCTGTCAGATTGTTCTGCAGCGGCGTACCAGTCAACAACAACCTATTCTCGGAACGTCCTCGTTTAAGCTCACGAACTAGTTTGCAATCCATATTCTTCAATCGATGGCCTTCATCGATAACCATGTACTTCCACACGAATCCCGAGGAAGCAAATGATTTCGCATCAGACATCATAACTTCATATGATGATATGACCACAGGAAAGTCAACGTCATTCTTTCTCAAGCGGTTCAACACATGGCTACGCATTTCTTTTCGATCAGGTTTCGTGCCGTGATAAATGATCACTGGCATGCTAGGAGCCCATTTGCGAAACTCTGTTGCCCAGTTCATTAGTGTCGACAAGGGAGCGACGATGAGGTGCGGACCTCGTACTCCAAGCGCTTTAAGATGAGCCAAGAGACCGATAACTTGAATTGTCTTACCTAAACCCATTTCATCTGCAAGAATTCCATTCAAACCGTTTTCAAATAAGTTGCAGAGCCATCGAATGCCCTCTAACTGGTAATCACGTAGTATACCACCCGTGAGAAGTCGAGGCTGCTCAAATTTTGCCTTCTTGGGCTGCTGACGTGTATCAAAAGACGTGTCACCTTGCACCTCGAGCAATTTATCAACACCCTTTCTAGTTTTGTTAGACTTCTTTGTCGTCTTCCGGCCGCGTTTGCGCTTGCCATTTGTGAGTTGCTCTTGTTCGTCCTCCGACTTTAAGTCATCATCGAGGGTGGCAGCGCTTTCCATGTTGGAAAATAAAAAACTTGAGTAAAGACTGGCTTTCTCCAAAAGCGAGTCAAGCTTTGAAATCTTCTCGCCCGTTGCTTTCACATCCTCCGCTTCCACAGGCGCTTCTTTAGCCGCACGTTCCTTGCGCTCTTCTTCCTCAATCTTTTTCATTGCAACGAAGTCGAATATGGGCTGATGCGGCGCCGTATCGTCTGTATATGCGCTAGTAACCATCACTTTTGTTTTGAAGGTACGTGACGTTGACGATGATATCACTTTGGGCGCTAGAATGCGGAATGAGCTGGTGCTGGTGGCCACCGGCGCATGATTTAGAAACGACTCATTTTAAACCAATAACACAATGGTTACTTCTTTATCGCGTCGTTTCGAAATTCGGAAAATCAAAGTTGTTGAATGGCATGATGCAGCATTTCACGCTGTTGGTGCTAATCAGCTTTTACTTGGCCGTTGTAGAATCAAAGAATTACAAGAATGAGAGACCATGTTTAAGCTCACAAGATGCTAAGGTTGAGATCAACAAGCGAATGGCTGTTGGAAGCTGGGACCAAGCAAATCACGAATCAGCCATTGTTGACACAAGCATTGTACCTGATTGTTTGGTACGCTGCTGTAATCTTTTTTGTGGAAGAGCTTTGTTTGAAAAAGATGCTTCGTCCATTAGGATTTATGCCTTGATGTGATGCATTCAACAGATTCACAGGTGTCAACTAATGGCGCAGAACCGCTAGAGCAGCTTGTAAAGGTAACCCACCGCAAGCACAAGTTTCCAGTACTTGCCACAATTTGCTCGCTGACATTTCTTGCGGCAATTGTCGCTCTGCTCATTATATGCACGAGCTAGAGGTATGGATAACGTTTTAGATTGTCGCAAAAGTAATTGTTGGACTCGAAGAACGCAAAAGAAAAACAGTTCAATGACCTCCCGTTTCAGCAATCTGGAAAGCATATTACCGCTACAAGTGATCAACATTAGTTATAGTTTTTAAACGAGCTGCAGCGTACGTACGAGTGTGCGAAGGATAGGATAGTTATCACAATAACTAACAAGAAAAAAGCAGAATAATTAAAAATGAAGATATATTATTTTGTTGGATATCGAAAATATGCAAAAGCGTTCATAAAAACTTTGATTAAATCATGCAATGCATCACTAGATTCATCTAATGCGAGCTCGTTGAGAATGACGAGCTTATGCATAATAACAGCTTCAACTTCAGGCGTGTAACACATTCTTCAACATGATTAAATTTTACGCACCTAAAATAGTCAGACTTTTCGAATTGGTATTGAATAATTCTCTGATTTCTATGCAAAATTAAGCTTTGAAGGCAGGTTACCCCTCAGTTTGAAATAATGGTGCACTTATCGACCTTCGCAAAACGTATTGCGTGGCGCTCGAATGACAGTTTGTCGATATTTCTCCGGTTTCAGAACCTTTTATGTCGAAAGCCAAGATATCTTGCGTAGAAAAAGAGGTGGGCATCAAGGCACTACATATTTTTGCTGTGGACAGCATCGCGATTTGGAAGTTCTGATGAGGCTTTTTCAAAGCACACAATGCAATGAAGTGATTCACGTTAACGATGATGACACCTCATTCCAGAATTATGAGTGAATCGTATATCTTGAAAAAAGCCGGTGGAAACGATCGGCGCTAATATATGTGCCGTCGACATAAAAAATGAATGCAATGAATTAACTAACCTTTGCTACGCCAATAGTTGATATTTTTCGTGAAAGATGCTATCGATACATCTATATCCGCTATGTCCCTGGTCAAATCCAATATGTGCTCAAACAACTATGAGCACCACTTGAGTATTTGATCACCATTGGCTAGGCCCGATTATGTTTCTACCAAACAGCTAGTAAGCTCTACTGAGCAAGCATGACACAGGACATCTCTTAGTGAAAACCCTTAATCTTGCATTGATACAATATATTAGATCTTGACGATTATTGCCTCTTCAATAACACACATGCGGCTATTGGAAGATGGCAAGTCATTGCTACTTTTACGTGTGCCGCGATATGTATCTTCTCGTTCAAATTCTTGTTTGACGTCTTTAACTTGAACTCCCTGCACCTAGAAAACTTTTCAATTCGCTCCATAATTTCGAGGTTTTGCTCACAAACACGCCAGAACCGCGGAGAATTAGTGGTTTACTTTGACTTCCAAAAAAAACTACAAATTGCTATAGGAGTGAAAGAAAAACAATTTTGTTATCCTCTTTAATTTTCTTGGAAAAAATTAGAATTCGTGATTACTTAGTTAATTGAAACTTGAAGAAACAACAGGCCAAAAATTACACAGTAGCTTGAAGGGAGTTTTGGCCTTGCCGTTGTTGCTGTCGAACATGCTGCTCCTGAAGAGAGAGAGACAGCATGCGCAAACGCTGAAGTTCTTCCTCTAGAACAAAGCCCTGCTTACGCTCGTCCATGTAGCGGGTCTCGAGCTGCCCACATCGGTGCCGCAATTCGTCATTTTCTTCCGACAAGCACTCAATTTCCAAGGCTCGATGTCGCGCCTCGCGATCCGCTGCGTTAATTAGCGAATGGAGTTTTTCATTGGTAGCTGTCAGTGTGTCTACCTTCATAAGAAGTTCTCGCTTTCAGTATGATTAAGCAGAGGAGATTAGATCGAAAGTTCCATGAAAATACACAACAACATTTATCGTACCATTTCATTGTCTCGGGTCTCACTGCCATCACTGTTACCCATATAGGAACAATTGTGAGTTTTTTCAAAGGTTGTGAAAAAATGAAATGGCAACGTACAGGTTAAGTTTTTGACGTTTGAGCTCGTTGATTTGCGATGGAATTATCAAAAGTTGTTGTTGCTGCTCCTGAAGCACGCAAATGATTTCTTTCAGATCGTGTTGTTGTCGGATAAGTGATGCTATCGTTTGCTGCTGTTGCACAAATTGGGCAGTTGTAATGGTGATGGAGTTTTTTGGCGACTTGTACAAAGAAACCTGCACTGGCGACTTGTCTTGTTCAGCAGAAATCGAAGTATTTGCAACTGAAGACTGATTGTCGGGAATCGCCAAGCTAGTCATGGACCTAACTTGGCTAGCGCTCGCCAGTGCGCAGTCACCAACCGACGCTGCAGGAATCGCAGACTTTGACAGTGTATTCGAGCTCTCCGTCATCAAATGAGGCAGCAAGCCGCGGCCCGGTTGCTGTTGCAAATTTCGAGAAGAAGTCATCATTTCCACAGGCTTTAATCCTCCGCGCGTCGGACTTTCACTTCGTCGTCGAAAACGACGTAATGCTGACGATTTTTGAAGGCGCGACAAAGATCGAGTTGTTCGTTTTGGCTTGGTGCGCCGTTCGAGATTATCTAAACTGTGCTGCTGCGGCATTACATTCGAGGAATCCTCAACTGTTGTTGTTGTGACGAAACGATGATCGTTCAACTGTTTTTAAAAAACAAATAAGTAAATTTCCAGCGCAAGCAGCCTTAGCACCTAACACTTACGTCGTCGGCATTCTTCCTACACGTTGGCGAGTCCGATGCCATCTCAATTATAGTGAAACGCCCTCGACGCCTGATTCTACAATGCACCTAAACGCATTAACAAAGTACGCGCGTCTTGTCGACGCAAACAAGCAAAGCACGAATGACAACGAACCGGCGCGTTCTCTGATTCATTTTCTTAGGAGACGAGTATTTTCGAGACGGCGAGCTTGGAGCAGTCATCGCGCATGGCGTTGAGATCGATACTTTGACCACAGATTCTACCACAGAATTTGTCACCTAGGATCTCAGGATATCAGTGATACATACACCCAGTAAGGTAAATAAAAATATGTTGTTCGCACTTCGGTGGCATTAGTGATTGAATCTTCTATCGGAACCGACTTGACCGGCTGCTTGAGCGATTTTTCAGCCACCAGAACGGAGCTCACAGCCAAATCACAAGCAAATTTATTACTTTGATTGATATTTTCACGTAGTTGAGAAGGTGAGAGTGCGTCGCCAGTCGTTGAAGAGAAGTCCTCGGTAGATATTTCGTCGTCAAGAAATGTGGACGATGACATACGCGTCGAGGATGGCGAGGCTGGAATGATTTCGGTTATAGTGAAACGACCTTTTTGCTGTACCCGTTTGCGCCGCGACTCGGTCATCCTCTGGTTGGCGCAATGACGCTTTCGTAAAGTACCTGACTTTAAGAGCCTGCCTGACGCACATAACTGTACGCTTTGGATTTTAGGGAAAATTTTGACAAAGTTGCAAACAATGAGACGAGCAACATAACAAATCTTTCAGATTATATAAAGTGACAAAGTGCGTGTGTTTCTTAAGAATGCGTTGAGCAAGAGCGCCAGACAGCTGGCGTCTCCTTGTGTTGCAAAAGGAATTCAATCATTAAGACGCAAAGCATGCTGTGCCATTTACTTTTCTTAGAAATTGATTGGTTTAGATGCCTTATAAAATGTTCAATTGGCTTCTTTTCTGTGAAGAAGTTTCGCAGAATCAGCTAGGAAAAGCGTGATTACTATAAGTGTGTATATAAATTGTACAGTACACGTTGTATGACCAATGAGGTCGATAGGGAAATCATAGAAGCGTGGATGCCTGCAAATTGCGTACGCGAGCTGAGGCACACAATAGAAATTGGCCCGCAGTGATTCGCTCAAAAAATTTTAGCTTCTCCTTTGAAGTCAGTAGAATATTGTCGTTAGTTTGGTAATTTAGCTTAAATTGCTAATCTATTTGCCTCATGAAGTATTGCGAGTATATTACATTAGAAGACATTCCAAATATTATTATCATGTCATAATTTTCTCTTCTTCGTTAAGAATTAAAATGGCTGTTTATGCAGCTGTCGACCTTACTATCATCATTGCCTTTTTTTGCCTTCCCGACAATAACAAAAAAATGCGTCAATTCACTATTGCCCAGCTCCACGGATATGTTTGCATCAGTATGAACTGTATTATGGTGTGTGTACAGTACATTAATTTTCCGAGAGTCTTAGGGCTAAGCTCAGAAATATTAAGGTATGGTATGTGATGAAGTTTTTCTGGACTAATGGTACGGATGGGGGATGGTAAAAGAGAGGTCTAACACTTCGCAGTGAATAGAGTTTTATTATTGCCAGTCAAACAAACTCCATAACAACTAACCGTCGATTTTTTCTATCAAAGAGCAAACGAGGCACCTAATAACCCGGATTCGCTCTGGACATGTCCTCCAGTTCGCGCCTGCCTTAAGAGGTAGACAAGGTACGCCTGATTAGACGGTACGAGCACCCATGAGACCTGTCGCTTAAGCACCATGTATGATGGGACTGCCTCTTTTAGAAAAATACCCATCTTGTGTGGGTCACTTAGCATGAAGGCATCTAGGGTGACATACTGGTGCACCAGCGCATATTCATGCTTGTTGAATGTCTCCAGACGATGAATACCCATTTGCCCACTGGGCCTCCAATTGATCAATCCTCTTGGTGTCAACTAAAGAGCAGAGTTTATTTGGCCTGTCTTGTTGTCCCGAAATGGTAGTTACACATCTCGTGTATCATCCTGTCAGAGAATACAATCATACTCAGACTCAGATATTCATTTGAGGACAAGCTCTACCAACTTCAGTTGGTTTGGTATGACCCGTAGATTTTTTAATTTATAAGCTCGAGTCATTTGACACATAGAAGAAGAGTTTAAAAACTCCACCCAGAAAGATGAGAGATCAATATGCAACCTCTTTTCCGGAAGCAATAACGATCACCATTTGCATGTATGGGTTGCATCAAACCTCCCGCACCCATCACCTCTACCGGGGAAGATGTGGGCGGTATGTTGAATGTAGAAGTTTTGGGATACGAAAATTGGTGTGTGTATGTGAGATGAAGCTCTTAAGGCGGAAGAGGTGATGAACCTTATTCAGGTAATGAAAGAAGTGAGAGATCTCTCAGTTACTAAGCGGTCTCGCAGATGCTATATTGGTGGTACAAGAAACTCTCACACCTTCAGTGTCCCTCTCTCTTTTAGCTGAGAGGTTATAAGGAATGACGGACGAGCCCCTCGCGGAAACACTCGAAGCCCAGTAGGGGCAAATCACCTATCCGGAATGAATTGACTTCTTTAATCTCTGAAGAAACCTCGTTGGAGAGCGACTCTGTCTTAGGGTTGCAAAGCTAATGCTGTTGGTTGTCAACATCAGCGTCCCAAGCTCTGCGAAGCCTTATAGAGCTCGGTAAATTCGGGGGCGTTGTGCTACTACCTACAATGGGAGACTGACAAAACAGCTGATTATACGCGTAATATTGTAAATGCAAGATTTGGACTCGAATTCCGTGTGTCTTGTGATAGTGTCGAAATTCGTTTGAGGCTTTTTTGAAATCTGTTGGCGCCGGCAGCTTAACACGTCGTCAGGTCACACACCTGGGTTCGAGATGCTTTTTGTCCTATTTAGTGCGTGGCATGAACTCCCATATAGATCGGCTAGATGTTAAAAGCTATGTTTCATGCACTATTCTTCTGGTGGAGCTTTGATAACAGCTCTGTTTGGAACTAGAAGCGCTTTTGCTTGGGGGAGCTTTGGAGCAGGACAATGGACTGTCTGAATTAATTAGCAACGAAGTCTCTGAATGCACTCTACGAAGTTTGGAGGCAGAAGCGGGGCGAGCCGTGTCATCCAGAGAAGACTGAAAGCAGCGATCGCATATCGCCGTCTCGAAAGTGAATTATTATTAAGATAGAAATGGGCGACAGTTTGTTGTGGTCCCAAAAGGGTGCCACTGATGGAATACTTAGTTGTAGCTGTACGCTGAAGACCCTGTGAACAAGCTGGTGGAGAGGAATGAAAGGGCGAGTGTCACGATCTCCTCTGTCAAATTTAATGAAGATATGCGACTAAAAGTCGCAGGTAGCACTTTTGGCGTTATTGAGATGATTGCAGATCACTGAGTACGAAGTGTAGTCAGTTATCCTAAAGGTCCGAAAGACTACTATATCTTTTCTCTTTTTCTTCTCACGACACGATGACCATGCGTATTGGCTTGGGATCGGGGAGTGTGTCACAAATGTGACATGACTCTCAAAACAAAATAGAAAGCCACACGTCAATGGCCCTGATCAAGGGAGAAGTATAGTATCATTGAGGCTTTCATCGAGTAAAGCAGGAGAGGTTTTGGCGCGAAAAAGTAAGTCTGCTATTCCGGCGCCTACATACTGTGTAAGAAAAGGATGGGGATGTTGGTAAGTGGCGAAATGTATGCTGCTTATAGTAAGCTAGAGCCGGTCACTATATAAACTAAATTGTCAGTTCCTGGAAAGGATACACTGCAAAATAGCACACTTTATTTGGCACATATGACGTTTTCATTAGTTGCTGTCAACTGCTTATAAGAAACAGTATTCTTTCGCTCACTGAGGCGAGTGGATGCTTTGAAAGGGGCTCGTTACCTCATCAAGACTGTCTTACGCACCGCGGCATTCAATTGCTTGTTTTTGATTTTTTTTAACGATGCGTCCGAGAGTATCAGATTTTGTGCTTGCGGGTCGACTGAGCAAGATAAATCATCTCACTGCCTTGTCAACAGAATGACGGGAGAGAGAGACGGCGACGTTATCCTCGAGGTTATTCCCGCAGTGGACGCTCTTCTTGAGCAGGACGAGATGTCCTTTAAAGAGTTTAGGGTGCCTTGAAGACAGGAAATTTAGCCAAGGTGGTCATTATACGACCAAACGAGGTGATTGGCTAGTCGTCGGTTCCGGATGAAGCTGTCCTGGAGGACAACAAGAGGATGCTGAGCGCACGAAGTGGATCTTTGATCCTGAAGAATCCCTCAAATCCGTACCAATCTTTGGAGAAAAAGTTTTGAGATCGTATA